TAACAGTTTTTGGCACAACACAGTAGGGAACACAAAACAGAATTTTATCTTCACTTAACTAAGCTTAATCTGGCATTCTTCAGGATGTACGAACCAAGGAGTTTTTGGGGAGTGTGTTCATCTTTTGTGGGGATACTTTTCCATCCCCTGGGCTTTGCTGTGTGAAGTGGTGCAGGGACTTCACCTGGAGCTTGATGAGCAATGAGTGCATTTCTGCTGAGTGCTGCCTGTCCTTGAAGTTTCTTTGCTCTCAGGGTGGAGCAGAGGCAGGCCTCAGCAGCATGCACGTGGAAATTTCACTTCCAGAGGTTGGGCAGCTTTTCAGAGTTAAAATAAACCAAAAGTCACATTTTGCTGTTGCCATGAGAACTGTGGAGCTGTTGTTGGACCTTCGGAGTGTGCTCTGCCCTCCCTACTTCAGCTGGGCTTTGTTGAGAACAGTGCCGGGCTGGGAGGGGCAGAAGCTTTGTGGGACCCTCAGCGGGCTCTGTGCTTCTTAGGAGGGGGCTGGGAGCCTCCTAGGAGGTATATAGGAGCTGTAGGTGTGCCTGGGGTTTTGTGAGGGCTGTGGGATTTTTTCTGCTGGTGGTCACATAGAAAACATGTGGGAGGGTGTGTGGTGAGGGGCTGTTGGTGCAGGAACTCTGCCCTGCTTGGGTACTACCTGCAGCTTGGCTCTGGCCTCCATGCCTCACTTGTGTGGTACAGGTATTATCAGCAGTGTGCTTTCCCTGCCCTTCTGCACCTTTCCATGTAGGTCAGGATGCATGGAAATACAGCTTTGAAATCAGGTGTAAGGAGCAGGCTGCTTGTCAAAGCCAGGTGTGGGATTTCTGGGGCTTTGTTGTTTGGAATTTTTTTTTCCCTGATGATACTATATTTATGGTCCTTGCTGCTGATTATTTTGGAAGAAAAGCATCTCCCAAATCAGCCTAGGCAAAGGGCTAGTGCATTTATGATGTGTTTATGCAATTACAAGCTCAGATCCTGTGATGGCTATCTGCAGTAGGTCTGATGGTGCAGGGGCTGACTGGACATGTCCCTGAGGGTCTGGGGCCAGCAGCCACCGGGATACGGCCATGGGAGGGCAGCTGTGGAGCAGGGTCGCAGCTCATTCAGCTGCATGGTGGTCTTCCATCAGGGTTCATCTGTTCTGTCCTGAGGCCACCACACTACTTCTTTCCACCTGTGCAGAGAGGTGGCTTATGCAGAAGCTTGTGCTTCTTCCAGCTTTTTTCTTCCTCCGAAATATTTCCCTGTTGTATTAACTGCAGGAACGTTTCAGGGAGACAGAGATAATTCAGCTGGTTGTGAAACCAACTCTCCAAAACCCAAAGCTGCCACCATGAAAACAATAGATAAAAGGGACAGATGAGAGAGGAGGAAGGGCAAGCATATTTCAGAAAAACTGTGCTGTTTTTGGCTCTCGCCCGCAGTTTGCATTGAAAGGAGTTTATTGTCAGTGAGAGCTGTAGATACCTGCCAGCTCTCTTGGGCAGCAGTGCTTTTTGCCAGAGAAAGGCCCTGCCTGTCAGGTCTTCCCTGCTCCAGCCCCTGGCCCATCAGCTCCTCCATGCTCCAGCTGGCTGCTCATGAACACCTTCCATCTTTGTTGCCTTTCTTCATCTCAGCATTGTTGAGCCGAACACTCCACTGCAGTGGATAAGTTTCTTCTCCTCTTCCAGCTCTTGATTTGGGTGCTCTTGTCTTGTTTGACTGCTTGTACCAGCTGTGCAAAGGCCTCCCTGTCCCGTGGGACCCTCACCTCTACACCAGCCTGCTTTGTACCCTGTAGGAGCTGAGTGTCTGCTCTGAGGTCTTGCTGCTGTTCCATCTTGTTGGGGTTCCTGTGCCTTGCTTGCTGCTGAAAATAAAAGCACCTGTGAGATCAGAGTGCAATGGGGGAACATGGGGATGTTGTTTGTCATTGTAAGGTGGTGTTCCTTGTGCTGGGAAGTGCAGCCAGGATGAGTTTGGCTGTATTTCTGCAGCACTGAAAGTTGTAAACTCCAGCCAGAGCCATCTGGAATAGTGTAAGGAGCTCCTGAGCCCCCATGTGGGAATCAGGATCACACACACAGAACCTTTCCAGGAGTTCTGAGCTGTCTGATCAGTTATTTTTTCCACTCCACCTCATTTCCATGCTCATAAGTGGAACAGGTGAGCAGTGTTGCTGGAGAGGCTGTGCCCAGCAGGCTGCCACCCCAGCCTAGCAGGGACAGGAACTCCCAGCAAGTACACACTTGTGTACTCCCTGTCTTATGGAAAGAGATGCAGCTACTCAAAATGCACCATCTGCATTGTCTTAGTTCTGTTATGAAATGCAGAGCAGGCACAAAGACAGGGAAAAATGACTCGTGCTTATTGTCCATTGGAATATCTCCAGGAGGAGGTGCAAGTAAAGTTCTCCAGAGCCTGGCTTCCGAGTGTGTAATGGAATTGTAGTTGTGGAAAATAACTTGCTGCAATGTTCAGTGCCTGAAAAAAATAATTCTCTCACTTTGTAATACACTGTGGTACAGAACTTTGGAAAAACTCTTCATTGTATCAGAGCTTTAGAGGATGTCACAGTGATACTTTAGTATAAAGCTAGCATCTAGAACATTAATAAGAAAAGTGTGCCATCTCGCTTGCCCAAAATGGCATTGTAGCTGTGAGGCAGGATGTTTAGCAGTCTTTACCTCTGCTGAGAAAATGAAAAAAACTCTTTGTTGTGGTCTCCATTAAAAACCATCCAATTCTGAATAACTACAGTTGAGAAAGAAAACTATTAGCTTTCTTTTTTATAAGTTTTCCTGCTTTTCCTTGGGAAGAAGAGTTTGGCCATAGTGGTGGTAGCCTGGCAGCCCTGCTGTGGAATTCTGTGGCTGAGGTGGTATCCCTGGTGCTTGTGCCTTGTGCCAGCACCTAAAGCAGGGCAGGCCTTGAGCAGCCTTCACCACACTACAAGGAGACTGGTACCAGCACATGGGGAAACCACAGGGATCCTCTTATGTGTCACTGAATGTCCTTGTTAGCAAGGTTAAAATCTCCACGTGTCCCTGTTTTCACAGGAAAATCCTTGGAAAGCCAAAGCTTTGAAAAAGATTCATCTCTAACTTCTATTTTCTATTGCTCTGTTGAGTGAAATGTGTTTTTGAATGGAGATGCCCTAGGCAGGATGGTGGGCTTCAAATTGTGCTGTGGGACAGCTGGCCCTGCTCAGACCTGGAGGCTCCAGAGGAGGGCTTTTCCTGGTGTCAGTCACTGCATTGAGCTCGGCCATGGACCAGGTCCACCGCTATTTACTCTGATTTTTGTCAATGCTGGATGTAGCCTTTATAAACACTGCTATTGCCAAAATAAGCTTTTTCCCTTCCAAAGTCACCTTAAATGACATTCTTTTTCTTTACCCCTCGCTTGGAAGAGTTTGCCATCCAAGAGAGGCAGAGGTTCTGCCAGAGGTCTGGGGCCATGGCAGTCCCTGTGTCCTCCATCCCTCATACCATTGCTCCATGCAGTGACACAGAGAAGCCTTGCTGGCTTGGAAAAGAGTTCCTCTGCTTTGAAAGCAGCTTGTATCTGGAACTGAAACTGTTTTGCTCAGGCTATCAGAGTGTTTGTTGTTAGAGGAGATCCCTGATGCTGCATTACAGCCTATGGTTCTTCTTGGAAATGCAGCCCACTTATATCAGCTTAATCTTACTGGTACTTACATGTCAGGGTCACTTGGCTCTGGACTCCGACACTTACAGACTAAACTGACAGCAAATTCCGTTCTCTAACGTTTGTAAAGCATTGAAAGAACAAAGTGCTTGAAGCTTCAAATGATGGCATCTGGCTTACCAAGGTAAATGTTTTTTTTTTTTTTTGCTTAGAAAACAGGGGTGCTTTCAGGCTGCCTGTGCAGCTCTGGCTCTTTCCCCAAACATGCACCCAGATGACTCCTGTGTGTATTCTGAGAGTATTGGTCCCAGTTACTACTGGTGGCCTGGGATGCAGATTCCCAGGCAGCCCTTTCCCAAACATTCCCTCCTAGCGTGACATGGAGTGGCCTAAGCAGAGCATGATCTGGGCAAGGCAGACAAGTCTCAGATTGGGCAGCCCTCTTAACTTTGTGCCAGGGAACCTAACACAAGGGTTGGGAGCTGAAGAGAACCTTTTCCTTTGTCATTAATCACCATCTGTGACATTGGCCCAAGATTTGAATCTCTATCCCACTGCTTTTTTGCCTGTGATCTGTTTCCAAAGTAGTGGACAAAACTGGGAATAATTCAGAAGTCCTTGTGAGAGAGCCCATGTCCTGCTTGTTGGGAAGGGGATGAATAGATGGGAGGAAATGCCTCTTAGATGCTGTTTGTTACTGGAGGGCTGCAAGATCTCCATTGCAAGAGGGCTGATTTGGTGTGTGGATATCTTCTGGCTTAAAAAAAAAATAGAGTTTTTTCTTCCACCCTTGAATTTGAACCAGCATAGGAGGTGTGGAACTGGCACATGAGCATGTTTGTCCAGCTGATCAGGCAGACATGGCATGTCCAGGGCTGACCAGCCTTGTGTCAGGAATATTGTAGAAGTCAGCCAGCTGTCTTTGTTGACATTGCTAAAACAGAGCTTCACTTACCAGCACCAAGGAAAAGCCGAAGGGGAAGCAGAGCAGGGGTTGAGTCAAAGGTAGTGAGACATAGTACTGCCCCTCATGCTCATGGATATTTCTTGTTATTGGAAGCGTGGAGGTGTGGAAATGAGTCAGAGGTGTGCTCTGGCTTTAGTCAGATGGTGCAGGGTGGGAAAACAGAGATGCTCTGCTAGGATGACCTTCAGAAACTCTGGAAGAATGCACATAGCTCCCGTGGGATGGGGAGCTGCTGGCAGTATCCCATTCCAGTGGGCTTAGAAACACTGCTCTTTTAAACCCAAGGAGTGTGGTGTTTTTGAAATGCAAATGTTGTGTCTGCTGCAAGATGTTCAGGAGCAGAATCAGGAGTTGCCTTTCCTAATGTATTACTACTCTTTTCTTTCAGGTTACGATGCCCTGAGCTATTCTGTGGGAAATGGTGACAAGTGGAGTGGGCGACAGCTCCTGCAAGCACATGAGAAGAACGTGACTGACTTTCCAGAGGATGGAGGGCAGCTCTACATCAGAAACTGCACTGAACCAGGTAGGAATGAAAGTTGCCTCTAGCTCCTCAGTCCTGCAGATGGCTTCCTCACATCTGTACTCCAAGACTTACTTATTTTTAAGTCCATAAACACTGCTCTTCATATCAGAGCTTGGATATAATTTCCTCAAGTTTTGGGGAGAAGAGGGGAAGGGTTTTTCTCTGTTCTTCAGGACTAATCTAGGTTACGTGCCCCAGGAGAAATTCTAACAAATCCAGTTCTGGCTGCACTTTTCTGCCTATAATTTTTCCTTTGCCATAATCCTTAATAACATTTCTAGACAGATGGATGATTATGGTCTTTTTTAGACAGCAAAAACTGGTACAAAAATTTTTCTTACTCAATTTTTGCTTGTTTGCATAACTCTGCCACAGTGCAGACCCAGTCTTGCAGCCTCACATCAGCACTGACAGTAATATTTTCCCCCACTGTGCTCGGTATCTCAGCACTGTCTGTCTCACTATTGCATCTGTTCCTGCTGCCCTCACCAAATAGAGTGGCCTGTAGGAAGCATGGAAGATTTTATTTGTGATGTGTGGATTTTTGTCCCCCTTTTTTTCAGAAAGTAGAACAATGACTACTGAGTACTCTATGTTTTCTCAGGAGAGAGAAAGCAGAAATACCTAGATATGTGAAATTACTGTTTCTTCTTGAAACTGTCATGATGTGACATTCCATAGTAGAAACTGATGCAAAGTACTGCAGAAAGGAAGTGAAAGTAACAGAGTTAAGGTCCTGCTTCTGGTTTTGTCGATTTTGTTTGGATTTGTCATAGTGCAAATAACATTAAGTAGTGTTAAGTGCTGTTGAGTAGTGTTAAGTACTGTGTTGATGTTAGGCCAGGTGGCAGTCAGAAGCATTTGGGAGTGGGACACTCCTAAAATGCGGTGTCTGTAAAAGTTACCTGTTGAGCTCTGTTATCTGAGGATGACCTGCAGGATGCGTCAGTTCTGCTGCTCAGTAAACAAGTGAGTGAAAGAGCTGGCAGAAGGGCATGGGCATATCAACGTTTTGTGAAGGACGGTGGTGCTGCCTGTGGTGCTACAGCACAAGGGAGCGAAGTGGTGTTAGCTGTGCTTTCATGTTTGAAAGTGTGGCCAGGAGTAGGGTGGCTGAAATCCTGGCACAGCCCTGACAGCAGGAACTGTGGTTGTCAGGCAGAGCTGATGGAAAGCTCGATCCCACGGCCCCAGGGCAGAACAGTCCTTCTCTTGGCTGTGCTGGTGGTGTATCAAGCCCCAGATGTTGGCACAGCAGTTGAGGTTTCACCAAGCACGGCTGCCTTTGCCTTCTCCAAGGGCTGCTCAGGGAAACTGGGGCACTTTGTGGTGCTGCTGAGCATAATGCATGAGTGCTGTATAACTGCAGCCTGAGGGCCCGCTGTGACCTGGGAATCAGCAGAGCTCAAAACTCCCTAGCATCCCCACAGCACCATGTGTGTTGACCTTCAGGTGCTTCTTCCCTTGAGCAGGTGTGAGGAGGGAAAGGCTGCCTGAAAAGGGTTTTTTTTCCTTCTTACTTCCCAAGTGAGCCTGTATAAACACCTTGCACTTGGAAGGAGTGGATTGTCTAAGAAAGCGGTTTTACCTCATCTACTGGTGGAGGAAAGGGGAATGCCTCCTGTTAAAATATGCTGTGTTTTTTTGCAGTGCTTGGCTTCTGTGCTATGTTGGCAATACACACACCTTGGCATGCTAAAGGAAAGATCTGTGTTTTTTAGCTGCTTGGGTGATTGCAGGCTCATTTGATTGCCTGTCATGATATTTGCCAACTGCTACTTTCATTTCCTAATGGTTTATCCAATGGTCTATGTAGTATCATTTCATCATCAGAACTGCTCCAGATAGTAGGGGTTTTGCTCCCTTTGCAACAAAAACTGTAGAAATATTGAAGTGGTGAAATGGACTGATTATAGCCTAAAGACCATTTTTAGGATTTTTTTGTTTGTTTGTTTTGACCTTTTTCTGAGAAATGCCTATCATAGGCTCTGGCCTGGTCCTGTGGCTGATGGTGGTTGTGTTGAGTGCCTGTGGAAGCAGAACCACAGAGCAGCCTGCTATCTTTTCTAAGGAGCTTCTGTCTCTTGCTGCCTGTCCTCTGAGTGTTCAGCCCTGCCTGTTCCTTCCCCCTTGGATCTTGGTGGCTTCTCATGGCAGTGTGCTGTCAGACAGCAGATGCTCTTCTGGCATCTCCTACCTATCCCCTTGTCCTTGTGGTGTCCACATGAAGGTGTGTGGAACTAGAGATAGACAAAAAAAAATGGACAGTTTATTCACTGAAGTAGTGATACTGTTTAAATGAGACACTTGTGTTTCTGGGCCAAGTTTGACAGTTTTAGCTCATGCAAAAGATGAGGAGGAAAAAGTGAGAATTACTTGTGTCAGTTCAGGCAAAGTATCATTTACTCACCCAGTTCTGTTCAGAAATGTTATTCAACCACTAGAAGCCAAGAAAAAGGATTAAGCTGGTTTAATGTTGGGTCAGGTCCCTGTGCTACCAGATTCAGAATTCAAATTGCGCTGGAGCTTGCTCCAGAGCTTGCTCTTATTTCAGACATGATTTATTAGCTACCAGAGGGTGCCAGGCTCTGGGGCTTTGTCAGGATGGGATGTCACATGTCTGGAGATACAGGTTGGAGGGGGTGGCCAAGGTCCTGGTGCCAGCCCTAGTTAGCTCCTCACCAGACTGACATATGCTTCCTCTGACAAGCTGTCATTGCCTTCCTTCCTCCCCTGCTTCAGTGCTTCCACTCCCACCTCAGGAAGGCTGAAAATAAAGTAACAGCCCTGCTTAAGTGTGCTGTTTTAAAGTCATTATTAGTAATAGCAGGAAATATTTGCTTGCTGCAGGACCAAAAAGATCTTCGTGTATTCATTTAGGCCCTCAGGCATAAATTGCTCAATTTAAACAGCCAAAGAAGTTTTTGTGCAATTAGTTTTTACATTTCCTCATCTTATTTCAAAAGCAACTTTCTCCTTTATCAATATTTCTCCTGTGGGTAGCTCACGGTAGTGTAATCTGTAGTGCTTGGATGTGGAGCTGGTAACCCTTGCTGTCTACTTGTGGCTGTGTCTTCAGGGTCCCTTTGCCACTGAACTACAAACCCAAGGCCACAAACCCAGATCCCCTCGAGTGGAGCTGAGCATTCTGATCTCTTTCCTCTGTTTTGTTTAAGCACATGGTGGACTTTATGTGGTGTGAGTTCTGCTGAGCTGTCATGCTCAGAATGAAGTCCAGAGAACTGCAGAGTTTAGAAGGGCCTTCTTGCCAAGCAAATACAGCATCCTCTGTGAAGAGTGATTTTGTGTTTTGTTTTACTTTTTTTTCCTTTTCCTCTTTGAGCCTCAATCCAATTGAAAGTTGCCTTCCCTCAAGCAAAATTAATTTTATGCTAGCAAAATGAAAAGTTAAAAATTGTTCCTGCCTTGCAAGTTGCCAAACCTTGCTTTCACTTGAGGGAATGTTAGAAAAATAAATTGCTGAAAGTTTAGTAACAAAATATCCTTGAGGAATAGCAAGAAAGATGCTCTTCTCTCACTGAGCTATAAATTTGGTGAATTTGACAGAATTTCCTTGAACTTCTGTTTCCACACTTTGCTTCTGTTTGTCAACTTCAGACCTAAAGGGTCAGAAAACCAGAACATTAGGGTTAAAACATCAGAAACAGAAACAAACACATGCTTATTTCTTCTGGGTTCTTGTGCTGGCAGGGAGCTGGGTTCTCCCTTGCTGCAGCCAGGAAGGAGAGATGTTCTCATGGTGGGGACCAGGGGCTAAGATTTGGTGCTGACATGTGGCCCTAAGGAGCTGAAGCTCGGGGAGCCCGGCACTGGTGCCCGAGTTGTGTCCAGACACTGGGTTTGGCTTTATCCCAACAGCTGCACCTCTGGCTGAGAGAAATGTGCAAGGCAGCTGAGGGCTTTGGAGCTCTCCTTGCAGAGCCCGAGGCTTCCTTTGTTAGAAACCATGGCAGATATTTTTCCTTTTCTGTGCTGCGTTCTGGACTTGATCGGAGCTTGGGGTTCGCCTTCTGGACTGGGCCTTTTTCCAGGACTGCTGGATTGTAGGATCTCTTAGCAATAAGAGGTGGTCACAAGTATTTTCTCTAGGATTTTTCAGCCATCCAAGGGGGCACAGCCCAAGTGTGGCTGAGTTGTGCTGCTGTGCAGGGGAGCAAGTAGCTGACCATGATTGCTCTGAGGCAGGACCTGGTTTTACAGCAGGGCTGCACCTGGACATCATGCCAAAGGGTCAGAACAACTGCTTTTGGCTGGTTACTTGAGAACTCTGAATTGATCACCAAAGCCATGCAGTTAGTTCCTTGTAAAACAGGGCCCTCTGGACATACACAGGAGGCCAGTGGTGTACATTTTGCTAAATTTTTGCCAGTGTTCCCATGTGGTTATGTATGCAACTCTAAGAGCCACAGTTTCAGAGAGGAAAATAACACAAAGCTTGTGAGATTAAAAATCAAGAGGTGGCAGTGGTATTACCCAGCTCATCCTCAGTGTGATTGCATTAGTGAAACAAAGAAGGAGAAAGCAACCTCCATATTCCAAAGCCAGCTTTGTCCCTACAGTGTGCAGACTGGAGAGGTGGTGAGCTCCAAATTGCCTTCCCCAGAAATCTGCTTTCAATTTTTCAAGAATACATATCTACCCATGTATCAAACAGCTGTAATTAAACTGCTTGTTCTGACAGAAAAGAACCTTGGCCAGCCTTCAGTGCTGCAGCACAGCTGGGATGTGCACCTGTAGTGTGGGTAGATCTCTCAGACTTGTTTGCTTGATTGTTGATGCTTGTGATGAGACTGTTCCCATTTTAATTGTTGTTTCTGGTGGAAAATGCTGTGTTACCACGGGCTGGCTGTGCAGGGAGGGCTCACAGAGCTCTGGGGGAAGAGCAGTATATCACGCTGCACGGGGAGTGAGGAACACCAAAGGTTAATTGCCTGTTGCTACCAAAGAATCATGTTTATAGTCTTGAGAAATAATGGCAA